ACGCACCTAGTCCGAAGTCGTCTGCCATAGTAGTTGTCATGATTCCCAGCATCAGACAGTGGACTCGGTATATTCTCAAACGTTTTGCCAGCATCGTATTCGGCATCATCAGTGAGCTTTGCAATTCGCCGCACCAAGCTACGAACTCGTTAAAAAGACTGTCCGATGGAGGGAATCATGACAACTAATATGGCAGACGACTTCGGAATAGATGCGTTCTACTAAGTTGCCTTGACAACAAGACCAATTTGCGACCACGAGTTCAACCCACTTCTTAATATAATTAGACTTTTTTTTATTTATAATTCTCATAATGTTGTTCCTATGTGTTGTTTACTCGGTAGACGTTCCAATCTACCGACGTCCACAAATAGGGAACTTGATCAGGTATCGTGTGGTTTGGTAAAATCTGGGCTCATGGAGAGCATTAACAAACTACAAGAACTAATTATAAACCAAAACTAGACTAAAGCAATCCCTTTCTAATATATTGAATGATTTAGATTTCATTAAGTTACAAGGCATGGCTGACGGATTAGGAGAGGAAACTGACAAAACTACTCGTTAAATGCATGAAAAGCAGCTCCGTAATTGAATAATTAGAATTAAGTCGAAAAAATTTGCGCTAAGATAAGTCGTGCTAACCACGGTTGTTGCAAACTGTATAGCTGTGGAGAATAGTGTGGGGCTTTTATTGGAAGAAGGATTGAATTTTTCTCTTCCAAAAGAAACTGCGACCATACCGGAGGCCACACCATCTTGGTCTTCATATCTTCTAAAATTGTATTTTATTCACAAATTGCTGTCGTAGTGTAAAAAATGGTAAAGAAATTGCTTTTCCTATTCTCCATAATTGCCAGGCCATACTACAAAACTCGGTTGAATCATCGGAGATTGTGGCCACAAGGTCTCGCCGAATTGTGACGACGCTCACTGAAGGCTAAAAGCAGGTCCGGTCTACACTACTGCTACCCATCGGTATCATGATTGACAATCTTCTTACCCTCGGATTGAAGTTCTGAAGACCAAATAAGCTGAATAGTCTTCACCTGCCCTGGCAACGCGTTATTTGCATTATCTTCAAACATCCCAAAGTGTATAAAGCCAGAATCAGACTCGAGTGGTGCTAAATCTGGTTGGCTGAGGGCCAAAATGGTGTGGCTTTGGGTTGTGTCGCCGTCTACTTTAGCAAAGTGGTGGTTCAGTGCTGGTTCGGACAAGAAGACCTGATTACTGTACCATACTTTCCATTCTACATCAAGTCAACGCAAGAATTTCTTGAGCGTCATTTCCCAGTCGGGCTTCCAAATGCTGGCTCACCTGTAGCGTCTCCTCCACGTCCACCGGCAAGGCCGACCAAGTGTGCTCGAGCCCGACCGGACTCGCCTCGGCAACGGAGCATCTGTCTTCTCGCGCCTGCTCACGCCCCGGCCAACCGGCCTCCAGGCATCCCCTGGACTCGGGCGACTGTGCCAGTACAGCTACCAAAATGCTGGTCATATCGGAAAGGTGTGCAGGCTCACAGCTTGCCCCGACCGACGCAAACAGCGGCTGGCTCGGTTTGCGGACGTCGGTGGCGACGAGATCGTCGGCCAGAGCATCGACTGACAGGACACGAGTCCGAGTCCAGGGAAGACTGTGGAGGGCTGTGGAAAGGCCGGCGACGGCGGAGGTCGGAAGAGCGGAGAGTGACGCTTGAACGACGGAGATGGAGAGCACCAGCTCGCTCGCCGCATTATAGGGTTGCTCGAGAACATGTGGTCTTTTGTGTGACTGCACAAAGGGGCAAAGAGGCACACAATACCCATTCATTTTGACCTTTCAATTTAACACCATCTTTCCAACAATGCTTCATTTTGTATGAAAGTGAATGGAGAAGAAATTCGAATGTCGATCTAATTTCGGCTGCACTGCCGTTCTAATACGGGGTTCAGACTGTTGCAGTCCTCGAGACATTCGCCATGGTTTCGGGTGAAAATGGGTTTAGCTTTCGTCC